ATTTTGAAAAGAGTCCAGTAGCTGAAGGCTTCGATCAATCTCTCCACTTTGTGTCCAAACATGAACTCAGATATTGTGTCTATTTTATTTTTGGAATTCACTTCCTCTTCGTGTGTTTGGTCCACCACCCTGCGAATCATATCCAGTGCCGGATGATACACAACCTTTGTAGATGATCTTAGGTCACTTTGATTGTTCGACTTCTAAGTTTCATCTTCTGTATAACAGATAAGCTGTTGAAAGAAAAGAATTGTATCGTCATTTTTTTCGCATCTTGAGGTTCCAAACATACATGGCATTCTTTGAATGCCAGTAGCGTCTAAAAAATTTGTCTCATGTTATCTAGATACATCGATTGCAGAGGATGTCTTGTGTGTAGACAATACTATGACGTTAGGTTTAATGTTCTTTAATATCGTTCTTCGATTCACTTGTTTTTTTTCACATGCATATCATCATTTGAGGGCCTTTGATAGAAAGTATTTGAATGCTATTGATTACATCATTATACAACAATACTTGAATTTGTGGCAAAATTTTTGCAAAGAGATATGTCATTTGTAAATTCGGGATTGTAGAATATACTCAATAAATGATATAAAACATATATCATTTTGTGCCCAAAAAGCCATTTATAGTTAGAGCGGTAAAATATTAGAATTCACTAGAACTAGTCCAAGGCCTAAGTCTAGTGGTGATCCGAAAGTTAAATCATATTTATAAAAACTCAAATTGTGAAGAAGATTCCTAGCATAATGATTGATGCTTTTGAAGTTAAATAACACCATGAATAGTTTCTATAGATATCAAATTAGTTCAAGGATTTGTGCTTGCTTGGCCCCCTCAACCTGAGGAGAATCACATTGGCCAAGAATGTGTGTATGGAGTTCTTTCATCGAGATTGGAAAACGAACGTAAAGCGCATTATACTCTTCCAAGTACATATTACAACACAACGAGACAAATTTTTTTAACTACAAACAAACCCATTCTTGATGGACACATCCTTGCAACATATCTCAGTATAATCCAGTGATTTCCCCTTGCTCAAAAACCATGCTATTGCAAGAGTAAATTACCACTATATTAGGCCATTATGCTCTTCCACACGTCACATCTACTTGACTGTAATCTAAATGTGAATCAGCTTTCAAATTAGGATAATATGCTGTTTTACGTTCCACTCCATTGTCTTGGCCACTTGTTCTATCCTGCATCTCTAGAGCTCCTTGTATTTGAAAAGTCCTAAACTTTGATGCAGGTGTCATGTGCGAGAGTTTTGAAAGCCTGGAGCATCGAGAAAATGTGGGAGAGAAATGTGGGTTGTGGCCCAATGGAACCAATAGGAATGGCGTGTATTTGAGGCAGTCGGATAAGGGACATAGTACTCTAATCTCGTCCCAAATAAGAGAGCTCCTCGCTCCAGTCCGGGAGAGTCGATCGGGGAACGGAAACTCGACTATTATTAGAAGTCAAACCTGGAAAGTAGGCAAACAGTTGACCCTGGAGTAAGTTCTGCAGATGTGGAGACAGTGGAGCTGGATGGATCAAATTGCCGATGAACGAACACTTTGACTGTCACCACATCTCAAACCTTCATTAGCCCTTCATTTCTGTGATCCGGCACCCGGAATGGACAAACAGCAGTCGGGCAGTGGAGAAGTCAGGGAGCAGCAGCTACTTCTACTTCGGCCATTCTTTCACCCGATACCTGTCCTAAAATGAGTCGCTGTCAGCGGGTAAGGTCGGCATGGATAGTGGGCAGCGGAGGATGAGAAGATAAACCACGATCGAATCGGTCCAGATTTAAGGAACCGGGCGCCGAAGAGACACGAATGGAAGGAAGGGATTGTAAGTTGGAAAAGCGAGTTGGGAGGTGCGTATCACACCCTCGTCATGGCACTTGGTCTCAACTTCTCAACAACTCTCATGGGCACAACCCGTCTTCGCCGATAACCATGATCGTATCCGGCTGCGAGTATAGGAGTTGTTAAAGTTGTTGATGAAAAGGACGAATCTTAATGTAGGACGAGGACAAACAGCCGGATGCCCTTTTCTCCCCACGACACCAGAGTACCACTTGTTGTTGAGCTCCGTTAGGAATCTCGGCTGTCTTCCCAAAGTCTTCTCAAAGGGATTAAGGAGAACGGCTTCGAGCGTGGGCCGTTTTCTACGTACAGTTCTACGGGTGCTCCTTCGGTAAGCCTTCTTCCCCGTCTAACGGCGAATCCGTTGCTGTGGGTTCGAGTGAAGTGAAGTGAATCGGGAGAAGTTCTTTCGAATGAGGAAAGACGAACGACACCATTCGATGCGACCAGGCAACAATCCAAACTTTAGGAGATGACAAAAGTGCATTGAAAAGGGAGGCTAATTTTCTCTCTCTTGCTTTCATTTATGGAGAAAACATTTCCCTCCTGGTAGAAAAAAAGGTGAGGCTGTTGTTTGCATGGGTCGCACTCCGTCCGGTCTGAAAGGGGTTAAAAAAAACCTGTTCGTAGCAATTTATGGAGGATTTATTGTACGCCTAGGTAGGTAGGAGTCTAGGTACTCTAGCGATTGAGAGGGGGAGCTTTTGACCTCCCGGAATTTATGGCGATGAGGTAGAATACAATGGCCGGGACTGACTCTCACAGAGCCATCCATACCCACGAAGAAGGAAGGGAAGGGAAGGGAAGGGAAGGATGGGGCTGCCACTTGTTACCAGAACCTTGGCAATGACCTCGAGGAGTAGACTTCGAGCCTGATTCGGAGGACCGCACCCGATTCTTTTACGACCGCACCGGGATGCAGCCCTGAGGCCTCTCAAGTCTTAAATTCTTGTCCAGCCCCTCTTGGCGACAAGTGTGGCAAAGGAGAAAGGAGGGCAGGGCGCACACGCCCTCCTTGCGACCCGTCACATGTGATGCGCTCGGGAAACATATCGTCCCGCCTGTGGGGGCCTCCTTGGCCTCCTTGAGATTCTTCATATTATTATTGTTTTGGGAACGGGTAAGCAGTTATCGCCACCTCTTCTGTAGTACCCGGGGATTCTTTGGCAAGGATTCATGATGGATCAAGCCATTGATTAATCGTGGGTGCAGGGAATGGATGGAGGCAGTCCATGGTCTAGAAGTTCCTGCGCTCGACGAGCCCTCGCTGCGGGGAACTTATACGAAGGACGACGAGGGTCGCGGCCATCATGTCGCACCTCATCGCACGGCCTCATTCCCACGCCATGCGAACTCATTCTATCATTCATTCCTACAATACGGGAATCCGAAGGATGCTCTCCCTGATTTCTGAGCCCATGTCTTTCTAATTTCGAGTGGGAGGATCCCACTTATAATTACGATCTTATTATATTACGGTAATTTGATTCTTATCTTATCTTAATTACGATAGTGGTGCTACCGTTTACCGCGAAGGACTCGGCCAAGTCCGGACATTCTTGCCCTCGTTCTCAGTACCCCACATTCCATCCTTGGCGGGCCGTACGACCACCTACCCAATAAAGACGAACTGCGACATCATAAAAAGATCTGGATGTGACTAATTTGTCCATGCATTCAAACTCCCTGAAGTCCCTATTGACGATACCATAATTATGGGTTTAGATCGATCGAGTCATATAAGACGGGGAGATTTAGGCTGATGTGGATTTAGGGAGCACCCGCGTCTTCGTCGAGCGGTGTTCCCGCTCTCGCCGAAACGGCTGGCTAATCTGTCGTTAAGCCCGCGCCCGTGCCCGTGCCCATGCCGGTCTATCGCTTTGCCGCAGACCGCGGGGCTACGGTATCTATGGTACAGTACAGCCTATGGTCCTTGCAGATGGAATTGCCCGAGATCGACGGAGAGAGCGGCAGAGGCGAGGAGGGCAACCGCCGGAAAATATATCTACGTCGTTTGGGCCTTGGGGCTAATTTGTTAGACAATAGCCAAATGTTCTCTCTAGAACTACGCTCCTCCCCAAAGAACCTTTCCCATCACGTGCATGCAAACACCTTCCCCGCAATAATCCCTTTCGCTGCTTACACCTCCCCGTCAAGTATCTCAATTAATAAGTCATCGGAATAGAACACACTCGATATGTCAAAGTATGTTACCTTCGTATGTCTGTCTGCTCCATAACGGATCAAACGCGTATCACTAGCACAATTTGCCCACAGGTGTTTTTGTACATGTTCCATACTGACTTCCACACATGGGTCTATGCTTTTGCCCCTCGCTTTCTCTCCAATCCACTCTTTTGCCCCATGAATCGAACGATCACAATGTCATGATTAGGATACCAGTAGCCTAGTATATATAAGCATGGAAAAATACTTAGAGACACGAATAACAAGAAATGATGATTTTTTCACATGAAACACATGACTAGATGCAACATTTTATATAATTTCGGGGAGGTTGATTACGCATCCATTGGATAAGAGTGAAGTCGAAATACCCTATAGTGATTTGCCAAAATATATTCTTTTAGCATCAAACTTATGTGAAACTAAAGAAACTGATAAAAATAAAGTGTGGCAGTGTGTGTGAGACATGGGAGTGTACTCGTTTGAGCATATATGCCCGGGAGTGCTGGCTGGAAGGATTAGCAAGAGAGAGGATGACATTAGAATAACGCCCGCCGGTGCGCCACTGTGAACATTCTCAAGGGCCGCCCATGCGCCGGCGGGATGCAGAACTGCAAACCGAGCAAGTTGCGACGGGGCGGGCGGCCGAGCGACGTGGCGGCGCGCGTATGTCACCGTCGCAGTGGGATAAGCTCCAGGGGAAGCGGGACGCTTTTCTGCGGCACGGTGACCGCGCCCGCCCGCCCGCCGGCCTCCTTGCCTTCCTCCGGGGTCCTACCTGGCGGCCCTCGTCTTTAATTCTTCGCGACGGGCGGACCGCCGCTGCTGCCCGGCTCTGCCCTGCCCGGCCTGTCGCGTCTCGACGTGTGGTGGGCCCGGGGCTTGGCTTTTCTCAAGATAGTCTGTCTGGCCTTCTTTAGGGGCTGTCCTCTGCTGGGTTTGCGCTACAACTCGCCTGTGCACTACACGCTCCTCCTGCTCCCCCTGCCCCTCCCCCTCCTGCTCCTCTTCCTCTTCTTCTTCTTCCTCTTCTTCATCCCGTCTCGCGATTTCTTGCTCTGCTCGATTCTGACCCCCGCGCTCTCGGCTGTGGATGCTCATCCCGCACATCATCAACACACGCTCGAGCTCGATCTCGATCTCATCTTCTTCTCTTTGCTATTTGGAGGCTGGTGCTGTACACAGCTTCTCGCTCGCGGCGAGCTTGCTTGCAAGCAAGCAGTTGGTTGCTCTCCTCGCCTGCCTGATTTTACCTTCGTTGCGGGAATCTTCTCCGCCCTTTCTGGCACTACTTGCACGCTGACGTTGTTCGGTGGCTCCGAGTCTGCTCGCGCTACAAACCGCGGATTGTTGCTGGCATTCCTCTCTCTCTAGGTTTTTCGGAATATTGCGTGGTGGTTTTGCTTGCTGTGGAGTTTTTGCCCGAGCAGAGTTTGCTCCTGTGTGACGCCGATCGAAGGCCTGACCGACGTGTGGTGAACGCGCCGTCTGGGTTCGGGATTTGAAGTTTTATCCGGGTTTCAGTGCGCTTACGGCTTGTGTGCTATGCATCGAGCGAGAATTGGAGTGCGTGCGAAAACAGCTCTTGATTTGCCGTAGCCTTGTGAAGTGACACACCGCCGGTGGTGGAAATCTTTTGTCTGAACGACGATTACATCAGTTTTACGAGTAGAGTGCAATAGTGCCGTGGAAGTTCTCGATTGAAGCAGGTGACCGTCTAGAAGTAGCAGCTCTGTTCTGTTTATGAGACGATGGATTCCGGCGCATGAGGTGCGACCCAAATCAGGATACGCTCATCAGGCTTTAGAAGGCCTCTAGATATTACACGCTGGATCCACTGGTGGAAGCGTGCTTCTACTGTTTGTTCTTCTTCGTCTACTTTTTTGGGGCCATCGGTGTTTGGAAGGTGTACCGTTCCGGACATCGGCAATTCCGGCGTTGCAGGGTTCAGTCAATCTTGTGGTGAGTTTTCTTTACTCTTGCCTTTCCCTTTCTGAGTCATACCAGGGCGGTGTACATGGGATAGTGAGGATTGGAATCTAGAGGGCAAGAGGTTGAGGCCAGCATTGCGTTCTTCTTCCTCCTTGTTCCTGGGCATGTCGTACTTGTCGATTCAACGCAAGATGTAGAGACTTTGAAATGGTGTCAGTTATTGCTTTGTCTGCCGCTCTGGATGGTTCGAACGATCTGCCGATTAGTGACGTTGTATGGCGGTACTACACAGGAATTTGTATACCATTGTCGTCTGAGGTCTTAGGGGTTAGGGAAACACAGCACGCCTGGAGTTTTGTCTATTCGATGAAATTGACGTAACTAATTGGTCAACTATTAGCAAGCATTGTTCAGCAAGCATATACTGTGTGTTGAGGTCATGCATGTACTTCATACTTCACACGGAGATCCTTATCAGTAGTCTACTTCAATGGCGAGTCGTGGACACTGTCCTCCCATGTGCCGATCTCAGCCCCCACTAGTATTGTCAATTTGTCTAATGGAATGAGTAGTCGGCCTACGACTTTTCGGTCCCAGGTCAAGTCAGCGGCGAGTAGCATCCATCTTAAGGCGATCAATCACGGAGACTCTTTTCACGCATAGAGTTGTTGGGTGTTGTCAATTGTACCGTGTCTTCCATCCTTTTACGTGCAGTCCGATTGTGCCCGCCAGCACTTCGTCGTTAGTGTCTGAGGCTCAGTGCTTCTATGCAAAAAGCAATCAGTCTGTGTGTAGTCGAATAGTCGGCCTTGGACTTTTTACCGCTTGATTTCTGAAGCCGTTCGATCGTATTCTTTGGAATTCGGTTTTCATGTTGTTTCAGTTCTTGTTGTAGAGCAGAAATGACGAAACTTATCAATTCACTAATGATGTCAGTATACTCATTACTTCAACATCTCCAACGTTGCAGATCGCGCAGATCGTTGACCCGCGAATTTTGCAGCCATGAGTCTTGCGTGCTTGGCATGTCATGCGATGGACAACTCCACCGACTCCTTCCGGATGGATGGATCATTACGCTTGCACCACTCGGTGTCGGTTCATTCCGATGACGGGCGGGATGGGTGTGGACTTGCAGCATGTTTTACTAAGAAGCCTACCCCGAGGCAACAGACGCTGACTCAAAGCCCACGGAGTGCCGTTTCACCACGAACTCCTCCTCAGCAGCCCGGACTTCAAACTTCTGTCGATCGCGTTGTGTTTCCCGAACCGCGGTTGACTCGCTGCCACGCCGTGCGTAGAGACATCTTCAGCAACTGGACCGTTGGGGAGATCGAAACCAGGACTGGGAGGCAGTTGTGTTTCAACTTGTCAAGCCGGGCGTGATCAGCATCATGGTATATTTTGGTCCTGGACAATGACGAGAAAACTTGTACGTAGTGATGGGGGGAAGAGGACATGGAGAAATTTAAATTCCCTCCTGGTCGTGATTGAAGCCATCTTTTGGTGGTGCATCTTACGTATTTCTGGTCTTTCACTGGGTCTTTTGTGGGATTCCCAGGGAGTTTTTGTCGATGCTCTTCGGCATCAAACCTGATGCACTAGTACAGGCTTGCAACGAGCTAGACACACATCAGTGTTCGGTAGACTGTAGCATATATGTAGAGAGGTTCGTTTTCTTTGAGGCTTCATAAGATTAGTGTGATACAGTGGACAGTCTGTTAGTCGTTAGAGCGGTCGTCAGTCCTCGTAGTTGTTGGACTCTCTTAAGACTCACTTGTCTATGCTGTATAGACACAGACGCTGACTCTTGTACTATAAGATGTAATTAAAAAACGTTGGCAGTGGAGCAATGTCCCATCATTGTACCGAAGAATTAATCGCAAATATAATATATGAAACCAAGAACAATCGTCGATACGTTGTTGCTAGTCACATATTTTGTGCATTTGATGTTGGTATCGCTTGTGCCTTTGGATACATTTTCTGAGCTATGAGGCATGACCCGTTTGGCTGGTCCCAGTTCATCAATCCGTGTGAATCATCACGCAGGATCATCGACGTACCGTTTTTATCGGGTTTCGTTCCATGTTGTCAGCGTATCGCATCCCTTTCTTAGGCAATGATCTGGTCAGCGCATGTGATGTCTTTCTCGCAGGTTTTGCTTACTGTACTAGCAATGTTCCCAGGGTTCTAATTGTATATACACCTCCGTGCGCTTTCACATAGTTATGTGCTCTGTCCGAACCCCACCATCAGAGATCTCTCAGTAGCAAATACACTCGTTCGGAATGAGAGATTCGGTATTGGCAGTCAAATTTCAAGCCATATTGGAGATTATTCGCAGTTGGACGTCTAGAGAATGAGTCGTTGCAGAAACGAATCTTCAGAAAGTAGAGAATACAAGTTCACGACTTGTATTCTCGAGATTCGTCCATCCTGCTCAATTTCGTCGTTGGACGATCTGAAGATCAACTACAGAGCAAAAGCTCGTGAACGTCGATGGAAGTCAAATCCTCTACCTAATCCGAGTCATCTGACTTATCAATTATAAGTGTGTACCACACGGTTGAAACACGATAAAAAATGCTGTAACGAACATCTTGTGATTATGCCGGAGAAGACTAAAGAGCTTATCATCTTTTTTACTAGCAAACACTAAGATATGATCCGAAGGCTACGACGGATGAAACCCGCCCAGTGCACAGCAAAGCACGGAAATACTGTTGAGACCATTATAGACCACCACGTCCAGCCAATTTCTGATCAACTCAGAAACGAACGAATTTGATGTACTGGACATACTCAGACCATCAACTGTATCACACCAGAGAGTACGATGTAGAGAGCACATTGTCAATTTGGTTTACTCAGCTAAAGACTTGTTCGGATCTCCGAATATGCTGGGATCGCCTCGGGAGTCTATATAACATTGCACTGCTGACTCCCGAGATTTGGTCAGTTAGGGTCTAACCTAGTGCGGATTGTGGAGTCCGTGGACATGACGCTGATCAGGCACAGTAGTGCTAATGAGTACAGAGCTGGGGATTTGTGAGTGACGTATGATGAGGTGAGCATACCCCGTCCAGGTTCTTTGATTCTCCCGGCGATTTCCCGAAGGTTAGAGACGGTCGCCGCAATTTGCAAATGATGGCTCCTGAGAGTGGGCTGAAAACTTTGCTGCAGGTCTAAAACAGGGTAACAGCAGATCTCCAACTTTATCTCACGGTTGATTCAGTTCACTGCATTTATGAGAACTTCACTTAAAAACCTGTTGACCCGCTCTGTTTTTGGAATCTAAAATCCTTTACGTCCCTCGCCTGCCAGTTACTTTATATTGCCTGCCAGTCACTTTAAACTGCCCCTTTGATATCCACATTTTGCATTTTTCTGCTGCCCATTTGTTCAGATATTTTTCTCGGTACCGAGTTTCACCTTCCTTCCCGGTTTCTGTCCCTTAATACCCCACCTCCCACAATCCGGTCGTCTTGCTATCTTCCTGCGCAGATCCATCTGTCTTTTCTAGTGCATCACTACTGTACAAATTCGTTCGAACTGGAACTCGATCGAGTTTGGACCTTTGGCCTGAATCCAAGAACTTTCTGCTTGCCCAGCCGAGACGCCATAGCTGCCTCTCTCTGCCGCTTTGATATCCGGCCCTCCCTCCCGGAATCGATTTTCCCCGAAGAGTGAGGGTTGGACTGCTCAAGGTAAAGCCTCTCCTGGGGAGCCCAAGAGCTGAGCTGAGTTGTCCGCTTTATGCCCACGGGCCCCTCCCGCTAAGTTCAAACCCTAGGTTAACCAAAGTTAACTCTAGGGCACTCTTGATGCGAGGCTCATGTCAGAAAGATTTACATCGACGACCTTTTGCTGCGCGCATGGAACCCAGGAGCTACATACACCGTCGATGCGTGGATGGACTGCGGTCGAATGCATTCCACTCCAGTCCACCTCACCTCACTCCACTTGCTCCATTTGCCGCCGTGGGTAGTGTACACTGGCACCCATTTGTCCAAATTGGCTCGCGGCCGATGTGGCACCAATCGATTGCATTATGTGTAGTCTTTCGTAGGCCACGCTGGCCCCTCGATGGAGTGCATCGCTTTTGCAGCCTACGAGCCCGCCTGCCCTCTTCCGCATGGCCTGGCTGACATCCCACATACCACCTTTGCTGCTTTGGGGTCAGATCGAGACCCTAGCCCCCTCCCCACGCTGTCATGAATGATGCACAGATCTTTGGCACAGGGGTACTGGCATGAGAAGAATACAACCTCGTCACTGTGGGCATTTATTAGTCTTGGAGATCCATCACCATCTCCTTGGGAGCGAGCGAGGAGCCCTTCGGAGTTTTGATGACCTGACGAGATAAAACAAAATCATTGCTCGTACCTGCTCCCGTTCACGAGGATGTCGCAACACTCGAGTCGAGCCAGGTGCTTGCGTGAGTACCCAAGTTAGCCGACCACACGATTGCATTTAGATTTCTTTTATCCTCTTATTACTGTAATATACTTACATTTAAAGAAAAGTCATCACATACACAGTATTATACATCAAACGAACAGCTCAATATGATTTTATTCAAAAAAAAGTTTGAAGTACTTCTCGTTTATAGATTGAGTAAATTATCCATCTTGGACGAAAAAAATCAAGGTAATATATTAAAATTCAAAAATTAAAATCAACGGAGTATTTTTTTTTCTAACCGTATTTACATTTTTCTAATAAATCTATACATAGATGTAAGCATACATATTAGTGGATTTTATTGATATGGGCAATTTTATGATGGGTGACAACTTATGAAAATTTAAACAACTTAATAATTATGTTAAAAAATTATAATGAATTATAAAAAACACTCCTAAAAAAATATAAAATTAAGTCATACATAAAATATTGCCAAAGCATACATTTGATTTAATTAAAATTCACACAAAAAAGCTTTTTTAATCAAAATTATTGAATTTCATTTAACATACAGAGTTTCTACGATTCATTTTGATAAAAAATGTCTCATCTGGTTTCATTCATCATAGTCAAAAAATTAACATAAATAAGATTCAATCTGTATCTCAGCAAACAATTGTGGTGACAGTCCAGGCACAACGGCAAGACATGTGACATGTGATAAGACTCACCTCTTGTGAAAAAATCATGAGAAAACACTCATATATAATCTCCAAATTGAACACAAATCTTGTACAAGATTTGAAAAAGAGTGATTAAAAGATAATTGCTGTATATTATTGAAATTCTAAGCATACAATTAAATTCAATCGTATAAATTGGAAGAAAATCAAACAATGAGATTTTTTGTAGCGATGTTTGAGCAACTATTGTAATCAGTTTGAATTTTTTTAATTTTTAATTTTTTATATATTTTTTATTTACGCGTATAATTTAAAAAAATTATTTTTAAATAATTTATTTACACGTAATTATTAAATGATATTTGTAGAATTATTTTTTTGGTCATATTGGATGAAATATTATATAATTTTTATAATTTTTAAAAACATTATGACATAATTGATTAATTTTTTATGTCGATTCAAACCTCAAATATAAATCATTAACATAATATAACAACATGGATTGTAAAATGATTAATAATATAATGAAATAGACTTTTCAAGAAATTGAAAAATCTAAAAATGAGTATTGCTCTAGATGTATCAAAAAATCATTGTACATGGATCAAAAGTCAAAATTTAAAATTCTAAAATGATTGATATAAAACTTCATTTTAATAGCATCAAAAAAGATGTACGTGTGTATTTTTTATATCAAATATTTATATAATCTAGAATTTTTTTAACGCCAAATTTGAAACAAATCATTTGAAAACCTGTTAAAAAATGATTAAAATATAATCATATAGCATATAGAATATTTTTTTCTACTCATGCACATATTTACATCATTCATGGCCAGTAAATAGCAGATTCAAATGATTTATCAAACATAAATCATTTGAATTTATGTTGTAGATACTTTATATGCAATCTTTTTATGATCTTGCTATATTTGGTAGACAATGTCTTTTCATCATATATATATAAATATATATATAACTTTTTCATAATATTAAAAATTTAAATATAGATATTTTTTTCTGAGAGAAATTAAATTAAAGTCATTACTAAAAATTTTTCAAAAGATTTAAAATTTTTATTAATAAATTTATCATATTATTTTGTAAATTTTTCTATTTTTACAAGATTGATATTTATATCAAATATTTTATTATAAATTTTTTACTCTCTATTAAGTCAATTTAGTGTATGTTTGAATAACGTATCTTGGCTATAACTCTAAATCAAGCCAAAAATGTTCTGATTTCACTAGATATTATAATAAATACTCCATTGTGATTCATAGTTAAGTTTAGATCAATAAAAGTTTGTTGAGAACTTCTGTGAGTTTTTGTAGAGTTTTGGCATTCTATTAATGAAATATTCAAAGAAATCATGATATTTGTAAAACTCAACATGATGAGCTATGCATGAACTCAGCTCTGAATATTTGAATAATATATATATTTATGAAATATCAAAATAATCAAGAAAGCATTTGAAATATTAAGTTCATTATTTGAAATTTTCAATTTTAATTATTAATCATATTATCGTAATTTTATAAACAAAAAGGAACTTTTTTATCAATAAAATTTTTTTATAATTTATTTAAGAACAATTTATTTTTCTTCAATAGATATAGATGATCACTACTACCCTACTCTTCACCGTAGATATATTCTCAAAAATTCAAGTTTGCAATTTGTGTCCCAGGTAGATCCGAGTTGAATTCTATTCCTTCAACCCTAGATCTTCTAATAGCATAGTCAGGCTCAGATTATAAATAAATTGCACCATGGACTGAAGTTGATACATTTGTTATTACATACAAACATTTATCTAACTAGAGATGTCACTACATACATATCCACAAATCTGCACTCCAACAAGCCCTAATTAGAACTTTACTCCTTCAGCCATAAAACCCTAATCGCAATTCGAGAGCAAGTGAGACTAATTCCCCTTTCGATTCTACATGGTAATAGTGCATAGTCACATCTCACTAACTAGCAATTCCGTTAGATAGATCCAGCAAAGAAGTTAATGACTCTCTTTCGGCATCAAAGATTGTTACGAGAAATTTCTTAAAGTAAATATTGGAGGTAGATGCATAGTGTAAGTTCATGCAGATGGGAGAATTTGCAGGTAGCTCGGGGAGTGTTTCCTTTCAGAACCATGTGGAGTCGGACTTTGTAATACTGCACGCTTATCTAGGAACGTTGCTACGTAGACTTATGTTAATTCAGCGACTAGTGAGCACACTACTCAGTCTCTAACAACATTGCACCATACACTTAAAGCCAATTCATGAGACTACCCACTGAACTTTTCATTCCATTGCTCCCCCATGAAACAGGTGCCTTTTCAGACCTAATTGTTGTTCCCTACTCGATGCACCGACAGCATATATCATAAATCCTCTACAAAGTGGCAATGAGAGGTCCAGGGAATTGAAAACTAATATTATGAAATTCATCACGTTTAGTGTGAATGGTTGAATTGATGAAAGGAACTCTTCTCTCTCAACTTTCCTATACATCTGCAATTGGAAGTTCTTGATGGATAGTCAAAACATGCTAGAGCTCAACTGCTTGCTTTCTTCTAAAATCTGCTGATATGGATGATGCCGTTCCGCATTGGTGGAGTTGTTCTTCATCCGCGTGGTGTACCAAGAGTTCAAGAGCTTTGTGAAGAGCTTGGGCAACCACACATGCAAGCGTGGGGCACACAGATAAGCCCAAAAGTTCTTCTCCAGCTCTGCACCTCCAAAAGCTGCCCCAGGATTCACGACGGCACCGCCGTACTGTCAGAAACATAGAGACACAAAGCAGCCACTTCGCCAGTGAGAAAGGCGGAAACTGCAATCCAATGGCTTGAAAACGCTTTGCATAGAGCAGAACGATATCGTTTTTAGAAATCAGGATGAAGGAAAGCAGGGGTTTAGATAAGAATGCTTGTTGGGTGTTGCGTCCTGGAGAAGAATATCTGAAACTGCAGCTGTAGAGGAGATCCCTTTCCACATCCTCCACAGACAGAAAAGTGTCGAGCACAAGGCTCCACTTACGCCCCTCAAGAATTGAGCAGTGAGGTTTATCGTGCAATTCGTAGGTGTGTATAACCCACAGAAGAGGGTGCAAAGGATGATAGCCGGGTTGAATTGTGCATCGCTTGGAGAACTTGAAGCTCGAATGGCATGACCTGAATTGAACTGGCTACTGTAGGACTTGTGAAGTGCATGTGAGTTCCCGCGGAGCTGAGATAGCGCCGAATACAAACAGCCCCACCACTACCACCACAATTCCAGAAGCGCAGTTCGCCAGCGCTATCTGACAGGAACTTCTTGTATGTCGTGTACAATTTGGTGAATATTTCTAGATAGTCTTAGTTCTTAGTGTGGAGGTTGTCATAGTTTCTCTCACATATTAGGTTTCTTGATTTTACTTAATTTTTTTAAAATAAATAACTTCTTAAAGTATATGTGAAAAATATGTAAAAAGTTGTGAATGTTGTTATATTTTATCATTTGATAATTTGGCTTTAATCATGAGAAATGGAGTGAAACACATTTTTGGTCTGGAAGAGACAATAGACACATGATACTCCATCATGTGTCTTGTTCTTTAATGCTAGCTATAATTCATTCCATTCATTTACTGAAAGATAGATGTTTTAGATGCTAGATGTTTTATGTTTGCTATGTAAAGTTTTACAATTATATACCAACTCTTTAAATAATGCAAAAAATCATGTTTCAATCACGTGAATGTACCATTATTTAAAAATATTAAATTTTTTTTTTGCAAGTTTTGATTTCTTATTATAAAATAAAAAATAAGAATAAAACAAAATATATTAAACACATATATTTAAAAATATCTATACTTATTTAGGTCTAAACCTGTGAATTGTTGTTACAATCTTGTTAGCAATTAGAATGAGAAAAAATACAAATAGACAGCTGACATAGAAAATATGAGATTCATCACTTTGAACAATGTACATTGTTAACACAACAAGCTTCGCCATCAAAGTTTTTAATTGTTTCTTTGAGACACTATCTTTTTTAGAAGAGTGCACATAGACTAGGTTAAATGAATGATTTTAGGTTGGTTTGAGTTAGTCAAGAGTTCAATAAACTATTAAACGTTTTCCACTTATTCATGTCTTGGGATCATAAACTCTTCAAAAAAATAAAATCTAAAGTAATCTAAAATCTAAATTACATATCTTTGTAAACTAGAATTATGTAGAAGCAAGTTGTAGCCAAAACATAAAAATGTTAACATCATAGTTAGAAATAATAAAATTGCTGATAAAATCTACTTCTATTTTGTATGAGATGTCTCTATCATAACACAATATCTTCTTAAAATTTCATAAGTATTAAATTCAATTAGTGCATCATCACAAACTTACAACTTGTCTGAAGAATTTTTATAGGGTTCGGTATGTTGAAAGGTTAGGGCTTGGTTGGTATATTGTAGACTAAAGAGTACTTGCTCGTATTGCTCAACATTACATCAGTGTTTTTTTTGTGCTATCTTGTAACTATCTTTAGTTAGTTAAAACTAAAGTAGAGGTTACTCTAAATATTGATATAGATACTTTAGAGTACACTAGTTGTAGCTGCCACGTCAGCAATCCACGCGTTTGGTAGGTAGAGAGTAGGTGTGTTAGTTGACAGCGCCATGTCAGAGATACGTGTGCTTGTTAGGTAAAGATTGAGTGTGTTAGTTGAGAGCGCCACATCAGCAATCCGTATGTTTGTTAGGGTTATCCACCACGTCATCCATCCACTAGGAGTGGGATGGATGGTGAGGATAAGATTTTATCTCATTGTACTTGTTGGTGAGAGTTATATAAAGGGAGTAGAACCATTGTTGATATCTTCTTTATGTTTCCATCTTCGAGTGAACTTCTCTCAAAACCCTTGTGTTACATATCTTCACAATACATCCATAGAAATACAACCTCCGGATAGACTCTCACTTGGATTTACCTTAGATGACTTTGTGTTAGTTCATCATGGTTCTAAAGATCTAGTATTCATCCTCATGTTCATATACCAAACATACTTTCATATATTTAGTCCATTTATCATTCAAGTTAATATACACATCGACACTCCAAGATACTGAAAACTTCACTCTTTCATTTATGAAATAAATCTCTACACATGAACTTTTCAAACTTGCTTGATATTTTTTTCTCTACCTCTCTTTATGTAATACTTAAGATTTTATCATAATAACACATGATAATTATCGCCTAAATAACTTCAGAAAGATAAATCATGGTAGATTTGATTAGTTCCCAATACGTGATAACATGACATTGGCGTACTAAAACTTCTATAAATTTTGCAATTTCTAGGTTGAGGTGAAGATATGCCATTCGAGCCTTTTCAATTTCTGGAATCTCCATTTGCCACTTAGTCAAACTTCACACTTAGTCTTATTAATGAAGCTATCATTCATATACATAGTCAAACAACTCAAAATTAATCATATAGTCAATAGTCTTTTACCTTGGAATCTAGACTTTGTAAGAGACAAAATAGAAATACACATCCAAATCTTCTAGACCTCACTTTATTATTTTTCTAAGTATAAACATTATAGCTAAACTTAGTAATCACTAGATAAATTTAGTTATAACTAGCTAGACTTAGTTATATCTAAGTTAACCATGATCTACTTCTTGGCTACTTCTAATACTACTTAACACATACAAAAAATTGATCTTATAGTAAAAAAATAGCAAAATTTGAAATCCATTGCGTGGGTTAGTAGTGATCTTAGAGTGCTCTACTACATTAGAATTGCGCTCGAAAGGAATCAATTTGGATGTTAATGTAATTAAGAACATGGGAGAAGATGACATCCGAATAACAAATGTAAAAAGAAACATACTAAATTGAAATTGTTTTATTATGATTGATAATAAAATATTTTCAAATTTTTTAAGTTATCAACTAAAAATTTCTCTTGATAATATATATTTTAAACAAATGAAGAATTTTTTTCTCCTTTAAAGATTTTAATTTTGGTCAAATAAATAGATTAATTAGAATTTACTTTATTTTGAAAACAATTATGACGTTTAAATTTCAATAGTCTTGCTCACATATGATTAAATTCACTGATATTTTTATGTAAAAAAACAATTTATAAAAATACAACTCACTGAATTATTTGGAAAAAAATATAGTTTGATTTGTTTGAGATAAATTTTTGAACCAAATGTTAAAATTTACTCAAAAATTTTGAAAAAAATGAAAAGCATTAAAAACATAAAATTTAAAAATTTATATTATATAAAAAACATAGCTACAATAGCAATGAATTACTACCATTATAAAACGATAGTTGTGAATGCAAAAAAATGATTAATTAGAAAAAATTCACGAGAACAATGATATCCTAATTGCGCAGCAAGACTTACAACACAATGTACTCAAGTACACCATTGAGTATTCAATGAAAACGCTAGTTCATCTTACGCTAGCTTCCTAGTAACAATATAGTGTAAGACTCAATACGGCAGTAGCCTATTGTACGACAACTCCTTCGTATGTGCGTTTATAATATCAATCTAAGAGTTATCTAAGTTTCTGATCTTTGTATTTATACTATCGATCGTTCATCGATTACTTATTCAAAAGAATTTTTGCCTTGTTGTTGTAGGTGTTCTCGGGACATAGCCTCCAACAGGCCTCGCAACGCAAACGCAAAGACACCAAAAATTTTACTTCGGAGGTTCGAGCTCGATCATTGTCCATGTGTTCAAGATCCATACTAAGGGGCTGATAACACTTTGAGGCAAAAGCAGCAAAAACAAAAAATGAGAGTATAAGGAGATTCACACTCGTCCAACAAGCGATACCTGCTTGCTAGATTCACAAAAACTGTCACAAATCCCTCTGCAATCCTCTAGCATGTAATCTCTAATAAAAAAATTATCCATCCCATGCATCCATTGTTGCAGTAAACAATCACTCTAACATCAAATTCAAAGCACGGTCTCACACATGCCTGCTTGGTTATCAATATGCTTGACTTCAAACAAACTGATAACTAAATTTACGACTCTAAGTAAAGATTCAAATCTAAGCCTAAATCTCTATAGAGTAAGATAATGATGTGTTGAGAACATGACAAAAGTGGCCACATCAAAGTAATTGTTGTGTAAAGAATAAAGGTGCTGATATAACTTTAGCTAATGTGACTCAAGAGTTTGATCCTTAGAAATATGACTTTCTTGATGATGGAATATGATGCCAAAAGTATGTTGTATGCATTATATGAAGTGATGTTGATAATGTTTAAAATGTAGATTATGCTTGTGCTTATCATAATTATTGCATTGGAAATTTTTTTGGATACTTTTTCATTATCAAACAGTTCAATTCTTATGAAAAATAATCAGCTTAGTAGAATTGAGGATATTAACTTTTTCAATACTTAAATGTTTAATGAAGTTCATAGTATATTGAGTTAGGTTAGTTTAATACTTGATATGTCAAATAAAAATATAAAAATTTTACAACTTCGAAAAGTTGAAAATTCAAAGTTGAGATTCAAATTAGATAGAAGGTGAGATATTTCTGTATGAAATTTATCAAGGAGTATATTTCTAAGTACTTAATCTATAATTGCAAAGAGAAATAATTACTTGTAAATTCATCATGGTTTATTCTCCAAAATAAATTCTATTTTTGAGAGTTTCAATCAAACAATGTTGAAAAAGGTGCAAAGTATATTGAATCAAATTTTATTTACCATATGAGTTTTGTACCAAAGTTTTCAATATTGTTGTGTATTTTGTAAATCTTTATCAATCTTGTGCAATCAATTAATTGGCACCCTTTGAACTGAGACACAAATGGATGATCGTTTGAAATTTTGATTGTACAGTTTATACTCTCAAGTCTAAAGAAAAACTGACCAAGTTGGATCTTGCATTTAAAAAGTGTTGTTTCCTTGTGTATGTTAGTGATGTGAAGAGTAATAGATCATAAAACCTAGTAGCTTGTAAATAATTGTCAATAGTGATTTTTTTTCAATGAGATGAGATTATTAAAAGTGGAAAAAAATTTTCAATTGTTATGCAATGACAAGGATAACTCTCCATTAATAAATGTTGTTAAGATGCAGATTGATCATTTTAAGCTTAATGATGTGACACAAAAAAAAGTTTTGATAAATATGAATCAAATTTGTGAAGAGCATGAATTTGAAGATGAGATTTTGATAATGAGACTCAAGTATCTGCATCATACAATAGAGATGAATCAAAAGTGTATACTGAAAGATCATTAAATCAGATTAATAGACATATTGTAAGGTATGAATTCTGGATTGATATATCTATTCTTACAGATTGTAATATTTATCTTGAAGATGATGATGACATTGTGTTGATCTTATAAGAAGTAAACCTTTTTTCGCAAGAGAAGCTCAAAAGTCTATAAATAAGTTTGAGTGCAGTGCTGCTATGTAGCGTGAGATGCAATCTCCAAAGAAAAACAAGACATGATAGCTAGTGGAATCTCTAATGTCAACAGATGCAAGAACCAATTTAAGTCTACATAAAAAATGATTTATTTGGATAATTTTAAGAGTTATTAGGTAATGTATATTCATAGAGATTTAGAAAAAAAATCTATGCTTGAGTTAAGGCAAATAGAATCAAGCCAAGTAAGTTCAACGTGTGTTTAACAAATTTAACATGATGGACTCCAAAGGAATATGGACAACTTTGATACAACATTTGAAAATTTTTGCAGTTTAATGTCCAACCAATACCATTAAAAATAAACAAATTTCATCAATTTTCTATGACAAAACTATAGAATGACTCATGTATTTGATGATATGCACAAAATCTTATATTGCTCTAGTTTTGGGCAAAATAATGAGGTATATGCACATGATCTTTGGCTAACTAGGAATTGGATCTTTTGCTTATTAAATACATATAACTTTGAACAAATTTGTAAGATAACATTTACAAATTTTTTGACATAATTTATATTGTGTACAATATTCAAATTCTAATATTTGTTCATACGTTTCACTTTAAATGATTTTGATAATTTATTATTTTTAAACTGATTTTTTTATTGCCTCTATTGATTTATGCCGCCATTATCATGTTGAAATTTCAAATTTAATGAAATGTGATTTCAGGATTTAACCTTTATAACATCAATTCTATAAAGATGTATATTCTATAGTAACATGACATTGAATATTTTTACCTCTATTTATTGAAATATTATGAAGATAAAAATTGATGAAAGTAATTGATAGTTTTTTTTTAATCTAATAATATCATAACAAATCAAACACAGATTTAATACTTCATGTAAAACAGTTCAATATTAATTCATGCAAAATACATTATTTCAAGTTGTATGTGTATTTAAATTATCATTGTAAACTAATATGTGTAGCATGATACACACTGTTAAGAATATTTTCTTAACAGTGTGTATCATGCTACACACTATTAGTCACAAACTAACTTATTGGAACTCCATAAAATCTGCTTGGACTAGACATTATTATTATAACCAGGTGTAGATCGTGACATCAAACTAGTATGATGTCACGATCGACACAATCAACAACAACAGAGCACATGATTTAGCGCAAAGATTCAGTTTCCAAAGCCGGAGACTTGTCAGATCAGTTCAATTCATATGTACCAAATAATGGATAATGTAACAACTCTCTCGTCTCCAAAAATCTGAGAACGATTTTCATTGATGAGAGTACGTTACGACTTTACACCATGTAGGCTTTTGATACCATTTTCCCTTCTAGGTTGAGTTGCAACTCCCCAAACAACCTTTCACTCTTCTGATTATCAACACATGATTAGTACATTCATCATCTAAAATCATATGAATGTTTGGGGTGAAGTAGGGACGGCAACAGGAAGCTGAAAACTCCACATTTATTTTTAACACGTAGAGAACTAAAATTATCTGGACCTATCGATCCACTTGGATCTGAAAGTAGTGCAATCACTTTGACCTGGCGATCGGGTCAAAGTGATTTAAGAATCTTTCTTCGAGGAAAGATTCTTTATGTTTGAGAGATTAAAACTGTCTAAGGTTCATATCAAATGTAGATGGCGATGAATCCAAAATCATGTCAATGAACGAATGTCCTCTCCTTCATGATCGACAATCTAGATAGTGTATAGCCTTCGCGATATCCTTGGAAATTTGTCTTTTGTTCCTAATCCATATAGTTCTCAAACTCCAGAATTTGGTACCAGATTCGCTCTCCTGATAGACGGAAAACCGGAACGTTTTATTGAATCATTATTGAAGAATTTATAGACATGAAATGGGATAGCACACGGCCTAGCTCAAATCAATAGCGCAAATCAATAGCGCACAGAGGAGTCGAAGTCAACTTCTCCTCAAGTCTCAACAACAGCTACTCGGCATCATCTACTATGCGTTCACGGCACTGCAGTTGGTGCGAATCTGGCCCTCGGTCTTGACTCCTACTCTTCCCATAGCGCGCATAGCCTTTCCGAACTCCTTCTGGAATCGACGATTATTCAGCAGCGATGTCACCACGGCCCTTGTGCGCGAATCGTCGAAAAGCGACTGGTCCGATGTGAAGAGGCCCTTGTGCTCCTGCAGCGTCTTGTAGTAGTTGGCCTCGAACACGCCTGCAGATGTGGGGGTGATAACATCCATGAACACCTCGATGGTGGTGTTGAAAGTGTGCTGGGGACAAATGTTCTTGAGCTCCGTGGCGTATGCAGGGTCGATCGAGGGATCCGTGAAGAAGGTTGAGTTGAAGTTGTAGAGGCGCGAAACGAATTTGTCGCAGTGTCCCACTCCCACGGTGTGCGAGCCGGATAGGACCACCATCTGCTTGGCCGATAATCCCCTCCGAGCAAAAGAATCTATGAGCTGAGACACCTCGAACTCCGGCGGTGGCAGCTCGGCTTCGGCTCTGGAAGCCAGGGAAACAGTGCCATCCTTTCTTCCACCTTGCACGGCCCAGGCTGTGCCGTTCAGCTGAGCAAACGAGTGGCAACACAGCAGTCAAATTAGTCCTTGAGAAATCATGCTGGATGCACATGTAGACTGCGGAATAAAAGCGGTACAAATTGATTGCCTTCAAAACTCGGCAAGCTGAATATGCTCTGGAACATCAAAAGAAATACACGGAGTAAATTCGAATCTCATGACGAAATATGATCGTAGTCATTCTGAGTGGCGTGTTGGAAGTCTGAGAAACCACTTTTGCAGTCAGCGGCTGGTAAACATTTCATCTCTCTGAGACATGAAGGTCGTGTACCTCGACTGTGCTGTCGCGAGCTGCATACGCAAGGATGTCGGCGCATGAAACGACGCCAGGACAGATTTCTTCCACGGCAGCTTTGGCAGCGTCGATCACTTCATATCCTGCGAGCTTCTCGTTAACAAGAGCCGTCTTTTCGGTATCAGGCCCGTCGAGCAGTACAGAAGCATCGCAGCCCTGCGAAAACATGCATTCCATTAGCAGCATGCATCGTGACTTCAACAACTTTGACGTTCATCGACAGATGCAGGTTCAGGTTCTGATGATCACAGACGACCGGGAACATGCAAGAACACGCTTCATGAATAGTATCAAACTGGAGCAACTGAAACCTCGATCTTCCAAATTGCTCATGGACTTGATCCAAATGGAATAGACACTACAGATCTCAGGCTTACCTCAACGAAGCAATCATGGAAATGCATACGAAGCACACCGGCTGCATGCTTGAGGTTCTTGGCGAGTTCAGCCTGAACGGCCTTCTTTATGACCTTCTCGGCGTCCTTGCATGAACTCTTGTAGTAGTTATCTCTCAATCCCACATAGCCGTCATCACCGGGGCCATGAGCATCCACCACCACTCCAGAGAACGTAAGAAGAGCCACTAAAACTAGGGACCTGAATTGTGCCATCGTGTGATCTCTCTATGGTTTTTGCTTCAGACCGTACTTACACGTTTTGGTCGACAAATTACCGAAAAAATGTCAATATCTCACGTGCATGGAATTTCCTATCAACTGTCAGCAAAGAGACGGAGGGATATTGTATTTGACTTTTGAATGAAGTGGAGCCAGAGAAACCGATTTCCTGTCCCTCAGATCAAAGGAATGATCTGAGTGGAACTGGAAAGACAAGCTGAGCTGAGGTTTGCTTCTGGAGCATGTTCCTACGGGATTTATACCGTTTTCATCAGATCTAGTACTGAACCCACTGAGATACATCGTGGGTATGGATCACGCCTAGAGGGTATCGCATAAATGGATTACAATATAAATTATGTAGATGGTCCATGGGGCTGAAAGTCCATGACATGTAGTAATAGCTGTAATATTCTTTGGAGTTAATCTTTCAATTCTTTGGACGTAAAAGCCGTCTTATAAGATTCCAATTTTGAACTTATCGGACGATTCTTGATGATTGAGACCTTCTGTAGCGAATTGACAAAGGAAGTGAGTGGAGACTGGTCGCGTCGATTTTAATATTACTTTGAGGTGAATGGTTCTTCGCTCCATTTGTTTGAGACTCATGCGACATTCCTCCACCTTAAACTCACCAGTATCCGTGAGAAAATTAAACTAATCACCGGACGGAACTCATAGAGGAGAATATCCAGCTTCGATTCAAATGCTCGTCTCACTAACAGCAAATTTCCACAATACAAAGTTCAACTGGCGGCGAGGATCAAGGATTGTTCAGAGTGGAAATGTAAAGACAAGCTGAGCTGGGGTCTGCAACTGGAGCATGTTCCTACGGGATTCATAACCCTTTTGATCAGATCTAGTGCTGAACCCACAGAAATACATCGTGGGTATGGATCATGCGTAGAGGGGATGGAATCAAATGATGTCAAAATAAAAAGTTGAAGGACCATAGGGCTGAGAGTCCACCATATAGAGTCCCGTTGTATTACTCTTTGAGGCTTAACTATCTATTCTTTTGTACACAAAAGCTGTAGAGAAAGATTCCAAGTTTTGGACTTATCAGACGATTCTTTATGATTGAGACCATCTGTAGCGAATAGGCTGGAGAAGTGGGTGGAGCCATCATGAGTAAGAACTGATGTCGATTTGTTCACTTGAAATTCGCCACGTCTACCGTTGAATGCAACTTCTGATTTCTACTTCCAAGAAGCAGAATAGAAATCAGCCGGACCTTATTCATTGAAAGCTGGAATGGAAGTAATAAGATGGGATTGTTCAGAAAGAGAGACAGACGAGACAATATGGACAAGATGTTTAGGGTTTAGGGTGTGTTGACATAGATATCCCTAAAGTAACGGAAAATTTGGTACAAAGAGGTAAAAATTAAGTATCAGTACTGGATACAAAGTGAAACTAAGTGAAGATTTATTCAGTAGTAAATGAATAATTGAAAATTAGAAAAAAAATTTGACAATACACTTATAATGTGATAGTACACATATGCTCTATTTATAATAAGCAAATACATATGTTGTCAAGCTGATAATGTGTTATGTCACATGTGAAGAAAATAAAACTTGATGGAGATGAAAATTACGGAGAATAAACTTATAAAACAAAATTTTCTGAAAAATAAAGTGCACTTCTTTTTGCTAAAATTGATTTCTTTATTTGAATAGATAAATTGTTTTCCATACATATATGGATACAATCTAAAATTAAATTCTTAAATAAAAGTTTTCATTCAAAGTGAATTTAGTATTTGAAATTACATTTTGGATGATCTTATAACGTCACAAGATATACAAGATTTCATTTATTTTGACCAAAATGTTTTTGTTGTAATGTGTGTTTTATGTTCAAATTTGATATTGATAAAATGAAATAATTTTTGAGTTAAATTTAAGTTTCAAAAGTTTATACAAAGATGTAGTTACAAAACTAAAATTTATAGTCAATTTAAGCCTAAAAATGTGGATGATCTTGACATTTTGAAAGTTAATTATAAAAGGGAATGAAATTTTGAATCTTGAATATTGCGCAACACTTAAATTTTGACTAGGTTAGATAAACTTAAAATAAAATATGATCGGAAAAGATTGATGAAAGGTTAGATTGTAGATTTGCAAATTGTATCTGATTATGGAAGCATAGAAAATTTCTTAATCAATGACTTTCAGTCAAATAAAACTTTACATATTGGTTTGATTGTCACTCAATGAGATTTTGGATGAGATTTAATATTTAGATGTTGTTACAAAGATGCAAGATTACATGACTGTAAGATTTAATACTCTGGGGGTAAAAAAAATTTCAAAAAAATTGAGATTGGTTGAAGTAACATGTTGGAATTTGTACACTAAATTCTGTATATATTTTTTTTGATACAAAGGAATGATGGAGGGTTTGAGTGAGATTGAAAGAATAAAAATTGAAAATTATTTTGTTGTTAACTATAAAAAAATATTTTGAGTTTAGGATTGCCATAGACTTTGTGAGGTTGTGTTTCAAAAAGAGTTGAAGGAAATAGACTGAAAGGAAACATTGAAGTGCATGACTCACACAAATAACTTACAAAGATGTTCTACTATCGAGAGAAATCTTTTGATAGGTAAGTTCATACAAGGAAATACGTTTTTTCTTGGCTGGTTTCAGCTAATGATTTTATTTGGAAGATCTCGAATTCTTTTTGTAAATAAGTTCAAGTTTCTTTCTGACTAGCATTTCGGTATGAGAGTGACCACAAATCATAGGTTACGTACACAGTCATCACCTATTCACTCCAAATACAGTAGATATGGTTGGACAACAATTCAGTTCTAAGACTAAGTTTGAAGGAATCTGTTTCGACTCTGCTGGAATCAGTATCTCGACTGATCAACACTCTTAGTGACATGTAGCTTAGTCAATGTGTTTCCACCACTATAAAGACATAGTCGAATCTTATGAATGTGATTTATAGCTCGTCTAATTTTCACTTGGTTCGGGCCTGATCGATTATTGGCAGTCGAAAGCAAAACTAGAACAGTTTCTCTCCATCTTGTAATAACCCACTAAAGGCTAAAACTGCAATATAGTGGTAGAAAGGTCGAACCCACAGGGACAGAGGAACACACAGGGTACAAAGTGTCACGTTTTAACAGACTATTGAGGAGTTTGAATTCTCAGGCAACTGTCACTCCCAGAAATACTGCAAGTGTCCACTCGGAGCGCACTCGGAGGTCGCACAGTGCAGCGTAACACACACACACACACACACACCTGAAACTACAGAAACACAACCCAGAGATCCGTTAGGACCTCTACTTCAAGATTTCAGGGGGAAAGTCTCTCACGAGCACACTCGGCAAAGCTGCGGGCAGTGACTTCCAACTCCGGCTTTTACAACGCTTCCACTAGCTTGCTGCTAGTGTAGGAAACCCGGTTTGGACTACCTACTTCGGATCGAAGTCACTCAGACGCGGTGAACAACACTCTCAACTCACAAAACGCGCAGAGAACACAGGTCCGCACTGAAGGACTCACTGTGAAACATTCCAGTAACACAACAACAGTCTATTGAAGAGTTTGAATTCTCAGGCACTTGTCATTCCCAGAAATACTACAGGGGTTACCCTCAAAGCACCTGCTGCAGCGTAACCTGAATTTACAACCAAGGCTTACACGAAGTAGCAAAACTTCACTTTGGCATTCAGGGGAAAAATCCCAAGGGAGTACAATCAGAAAGAAACACTCGAAGGTGTAGGGGCGAAACTGTTCAAGTATCTAACTAGTCACTGGCTCTGAGCATCGGCAGTCACCCGCAGGTGCAGATCCGAACTACTCAAGTCTCTAACCAATGTACTAGCTCTGAACATTCGGCCGAAGGCCTTCAGCTACAAAATGCGGAACGCTAAGTTGTAACTCCTCGTGCGTGGTGACAGAACTCAAGGACACAAACACGCAAAGGAAATGGGTTCCTGATCTGCACTTCTGATGGGAAAGAACCCCAGGCAAAACGCCTGGAACTATTTTATACCTTCTAAGTCCTAACTAGCACTACACTGCACTACGCTACACGCCTGCACGGAACCACGCTACACTACACTCCGCGGAACCTGTACTACGTCTCCTGCGCGGCCGACTGCCGCGCACTAACTCCCTACCCTGCCAATCTTCCGCTCGACTACGCAGTCCCAACGGCTGCAACGCCGCGGACACCTCCCCCTCGAGGGCGGACATGGTATCCTGTGCCTTCGACAGAAAGGCCTCGAGCTTCTTCGCTACCTTCCGCCGACTCCTACTGTCACCTGACAACAACCCGGCTGCGCGCAATTCAAACTCACGTAGTGTGAGTTTCTCCTGCGCCTTCACTTCCCAGTGGGCGTAGCCCTTGAGACAGTGGGCGACTCGCCTCGCCGTCTCCACCTTCGTGCGATCCGCCTCCTTCCTGCGATCCTCTTCAATGGTCACTAATTGCGATTCGGCTTCAGCACGTTGCGCCCTCAATTCGCCACACTCTGACTGTAAACTGCGGATTAATTCTTCATCCGCCTGCCGTGCGAGCTGACATTGTTCCAACAACCGCGTCTGTCGCACGAGCTCCTCTGACAAAATCCGATTCTGGGCCTGCTCAGAATCGAGTGCTTCCTTGACCTTCACCTGCTCCTTGGTGAGCTCGCCCAGTTTCTCATCCTTCATCTTCTCGGAGTGCTTGTAGAATTTCTGATTAAGCTTGTACTGTCCCCACAAGCACTCATGCTTCTCCTTCAAGTCCCTCAACTCCTGGTCCACTCTAGCTAATAGCTTGCTGGTGTGGACTTTAGTGCGAGTCCTCCTGCGCACTAACTCGATGTAAGATCCCGGCTGGAGTGGGTCGGCGTATTTATCGACCTTGCGATCCAAGTACCGCAGCAACGGAATCACCTGCTCAGAGAGCGCCGCCGCCGGTGCTCCAACAATTTCCTCCTCCTCCTCCTCGGTGTCTTCTGCTCCTGACATGTCTTCCGTGGAGCCTCCGTCGTCATCATCCGAGTGGAGAATTTCATGTGGAGCGACTGCCCCGAGTGGGGCTGCACGTCCTCGACGTGTGCTGCCTGCGAAGGCACGGCTGCAGCCTCGCTGCTCGTCGCCAAAATGTCTAAGGCGGAAGGCGAGTGTATCCGTGCGGCATCCCCGTCTCTCGCTTGTTGATGGTCTACCGCATCCTCTCTGCCTCTGTCGTCCGTCGCCGGAGGTG